CAGATCTTCAGCTACCTGCACCTCATTAAGCAATTAATCAGCCTAGCTGGCCTTGCCTAGGCTCTGTTAACCCTTCAACTCCATGTGATTGATTTGTTGTGTCAGAAGCACTATATAGCAGTGAGAAAATTAATACTTAGAACATGTTGCAAGGATCATTGTGTCTTTCAAAATATTCTTCAAAGACAAAGCTTAAGATAATTAATCTCAAAGTTCATGGACTGATCACAGCTATTGAAAATGCTGGACATGCTTGGGTCGTAATCAGAGGCCATATTATTTAGTCAAATGCAAAGAGGGCCATTTCACACATTAACTGTGCAATCCTACCTGTCTACTCAGAAGTAAGTCCCATTGAAGTAGGCGTAGCCTTAAACTTGAAGGTGTATTTGTAAAGTGCAGTAAATGCATTGTGCAAATTTTGTGTTCTACTGGTCAAAAGATAAGGCTTCTGGAAAGCATAGCTGTCACATGCTAGGGGAGCCTTCTCCAACCTGAAGCTATCAAGTTCTTTTGAACTACCAACTCCCATCAACCCCAGCCAGCATAGCCAGTTCTAATCCAAACAGGCCACCAGACTATTCTACAGTGACAAGAAGCAAGGACATCTCCCAGTGGTATTTTTCTAGAAAAGAGGTGCTGGAACTCACCATGAATGCCTTCCTCATTTTCTTAGAATGGCAATGGCACCCACCTGAGAGGTGCTGGAACGGAGTTCCAATGAGTTCTGGCTGGGGGGGGAGCCCTGGTGACTCCCATTCCTTTAATAGTTTCATAGAAGAAATAATTTCAGTAGAGGCAAGGATTTATTTGTCTGTTTGTTAAATTTATATCCAAAATTCCCACAAAACTGTGCTCAAAGCAACAATGAAATATAACAAACAGCCACTAAATAGCGAGTAAAGATATAAAACCAAGGAAGGTAAAGCATCAATAATAATTTTTTTAAAGTAAAAGCCAATTACAGTGGTACCTTGGGTTACATACGCTTCAGGTTACATACGCTTCAGGTTACAGACTCCGCTAACCCAGAAATAGTACCTTGGGTTAAGAACTTTGCTTCAGGATGAGAACAGAAATCGTGCTCTGGCGGCACAGTGGCAGCAGCAGGAGGCCCCATTAGCTTCAGGTTAAGAACAGTTTCAGGTTAAGAACGGACCTCTGGAATGAATTAAGTACTTAACCCGAGGTACCACTGCACAACTATTTCCAAGTCAGCTGCATCATCTTCTTGCTGCATCGTTGAATTCTGCAAAGAGTAAATTGGTAGTCATCCATAACACCTGGTCTTTGATGTCTGCTTTTGCTGCCCCTCTTCCCTTGAATCCTGCAAAAGGACACAAGTCCTTCCTCTCTGCATTTTCTGCAGAACAAATGACAATTGTACCAAATGGGATCCACTCAGCTCAATGTTGAATTCATCCTGAAAGAAATTCACACTAGAAATCCCTGGATAAGAAGGGGAGGTTTTGTGATTAGATCTCCTGATGCTTATTTCTTTACTACATGGCAGCAAATTGGGAGGGGTGCTAACTGAATAGGCAAAGGGACTGTGGGTGTTTAATCCTTCGTCCCACGCCTTCCCTGTATCAAAATTGTTCCCAAAGCTGCTATATGAAGCACTGGGATTGCAGCAGTTTTTTGTGGTGGGGATGCTCTAGAAGAGGGAAATGTTTGGGCAGGGAGAGAGAAGGCTTAAACACACATCATCATTTCTCTAAACAAATTAGCACCACAGTCACCCCATAGCTGCTCTGAAGCAAAGAAATGAATGTTAGCAGATCTAATCAAGGATCTCCTGTGTGATATCTCTTTCCACCTTGAAGGCCTCTGTGGATGTGTGTGGGAAAGAGTGAGTGGGATAAAGACTTAATATTGAATTTAAATGGCCAGCTCAGTGCCTATTGGTTTGTAGCAATGAGAGGGGGGAAAACAGCTTAATAAACAGGTTTAAATGTCATGGACTAGTTGGATGCAGAAGAATGGTGGGAGGAGGTGTCAGAAGCTGAAGTGGTAACAGGGCTTAGTGAGCTGGGAAAGTCGGTGGCAGAGAGAAGTCCAGAATCAGAGGCAGAAGCTGATGCAGGAGCTAAGAGGCAGAGACAGCGAAGCTAAGAGGCAGAGACAGCTTAGGCTTGTGAAGAGACCTGGGTGCCTCCCCCTCCTGCTGCAACAAGCTCCCCTCCCCACTTGTCTCCCAGAACCAGAAGAGGGCTGAAACGGGTGGAGGAGAGGTTGCCCTGCCCACAGACACAGTCTCTGATTGCTTGGGGAAAGTCCTGGAGAGTAGGAGACAGCTGTGAGGAGGCAGGAACTTTCAGTCTTGGCAACTGATTTTCATGGAATAAGACCCTGGGAATGAGCTGTTCTGCTCACTAGGCCTGACATTCAATCAAGTCTGTGGAGATAGCTCTTTTTCTAATAAAGCGTTAACTCCAGCTTTGAATTGTGCGATTACTGACTGGCACACTCTAGTGACATTAAATCAGCTTTCCCCAACCTGATGCCCTCCAGATGTTTTGAACCAGAACTCCACCAGTCCCAGGGTGCATGGTCCATGGCCAAGGTTGATGGGAGTGGAGCTGTAGTCCATCCAGATAGTTTAACGATGCTGGTGACATAAAAAAGAGTGGTAGGCCTTGATGGACTTCCATGCCAGCAGCCTTGCATATGACCAATTTTCTTATGCATGCTTACTCAGATGTATCTCCTATTAATAGCAATGGGGACCTCTGTTTACAAGCCCCCAAGATGATAAACCTAATTTTACACATCCACACCATACCGGTAAAGGACTCTTATACCACTTTAACAGTCATGTTTTCCCTCATAGAATCAAGGGAATTGCAGTTGGTTAAAGGTTGTTGAGAGTTGTTCTCTGACCCCTGGCAGAATGACAGATCCCAGCACCCTTAATAAAGTACCATTCCCGGGAATCTTTAGGTGGAAGCCATGATTGTAAAAGTCCAGCATCCTGTTCTCACCAGGTCCATATTTCACTTTGGACCCTCGCTTATCAGAAGGATGCATTTCCTATACCCTTATTGCTTTTCCTACTGGAATTGCAAACTTGGTAAGGGCTTTCCATGGTCAATAACACTGTACATGGGCAGTTGCACCTGTACACCAATGCAACCAAGCCCAAAGAAATTCCATGCCATCTGGGTGAATGTGGGAACAGAGGATATAGGATTCTGAAACAGCTCAGTTCTAAGATTTTGAGACCACCACCAGGTGAAATTAGCAAGGGGCTTAGGTTTAAGCTGGCTGGGCCTTAGATCAGGGACATGCTTTTCCAGGCAAGCAGAAGGGGTTACTGATATATATGATGACCAAATTTACCATTCACTAGAGAAATCTTGCTGCCAGCACTCTCCTCTCTCAGGGCCAGAAGAGAGCAGATGTGGAGGAAGGAAAGGAAACTTGGCTGAGTTGGGAGGCAGGAGGAGACTAGGGAAGAAGAGGTACAAACACCAAAACCTTGTAAATAGCTATTGCTTGAAGTGGCTCTAGGGAACCGGAACATGATTAATGATGAGTGTCTGCTGGGGATTGTCTGTGTTGAGGGAAGATAATTGAGTCTCTATTTTGAGGTGATAGAATTACTGATTGGATTGCAAAATTAATTGGTGTTGTTTGAGGGGGAAGAATTGATTTGGGGAGGCTGATAGAGGAGCAGCAAGAGCACAGAAGAAAGATTAGGGATATCTCTCTCCTCCCATTGCTCTTTCATGAACTACACACAAACAATTTGCAGCTTCACACAACGACAAATTGCATGGGTCGCACAGACCTCAAAGGGGGAAATCTCAAGTCCCACGTGCCACTAGGTTTCGTCCACCAATTCAAAAAGTCTGTATCATTTCATATGAGAAAAGGGATAGCTCCACACAAATCTCCAGAGCTTTACAGTTGCGGCTTCCCAACAGAGGCAAATTAAGGCTGATGGATATCTGAGAAGCTGCTGGGGAGGGATTATAATTTGGTGACAAGGGAGACCCAAAACACTAGGGCACAGGAAACATGTGCTTAGAAGCATTAAAACAAAATATCACCTTAAAAACAATGACTTGTTATCCATAGCTATCCTTTATCTATTTCTTCACCCTTTTTTATACATCTTCTGCTGAAGGCCCCCAAATATAGCTGTTTTCTTTATTTTTGAAATATGAAAAAAAAACTAATGGCCTACTTTCCACAGTTTTTCTGAGGGTACCATATTGTTTTTTTATCCTTCTCCACAACCAACAATGGTGTGACATTCTTCTCTCTCTCATATTTCGCTCAGAGCAAAGACAAACTTTTCTAATGGATTGATGTCATAAATTAAACTTTTGCCTACTGTGTTAGGCAATTTATACATTATTTATACAAAACTCAGTTTGATGAAGAAGTTGTGCTGTTGTTGTTTAAAAAATGAAAGGTGAAAGCATCTAAACCCTAGCTACAGTGAAGGAAAGCAGTTGAGAATTTGTCAGGAGACTGTAGATTTAAGCAGAAGGAAGTGTGAACAGAAGCTATTCAAACACAGATGTAGCCGACCAGAGCTTCGGCACTTACCATTTATAATGGTATAGCTGCTCGGAGTGTTTTGTAATGTTGCCACATGACATCATCATTATTCAGCAAGAATTCCAGAAGAATGTACTAAAAAAAACACTTGCATGGTATTTTTGTGGCCTACAATTTCTTCAACTAATGCATTGATGACCTTTCTCTGGTTCTCCTAAAATGAACCCAGTTGAACCCAAAAAGATTCCTACTCATTAGATTTTAATTGTAAATATATCCAGACTTTGCCCTGCTACCAAGCCATCTTGAATGGGATCATGGAATCATAGAGTTGGAAGGGATCCCCTGCAATGCAGGAATCTCAACTAAGCATCCATGACAGATGGCCATCCAAACTCTGCTTAAACACCTCCAAGAAAGGAGGAGGGTCCACCACCTCCCAAGGGAGTCCATCCCACTGTGGAACAGCTCTTACCATCAGAAAGTTCTTCCTGATGTTTAATCGGAATCTCCTTTCTCGCAACTTGGATCCATTGGTTCAGGTGCCACCTTCCAAAATAGGAGAAAAGAAGCTTGCTCCATCTTCCACGTGGCAACCCTTGAGATATTTGAAGATGGCTATCATATCTCCTCTCAGTCTCTCTTTTTGAGGCTAAACATACCCAGCTCCTTCAACCATTCTTCATAAGGCTTGGTTTCCAGACCCTTGATCATTTGACACAAAGGTTTTCTGAGTGCTAAAATCATGAAAACAAAAGATTTTGGTTTTGAACGGAGAACATTTCCAGCATGATTGTACTACCATCATGAAGCTAAATGTCCCACAGTGAATAGGCCATGCCTTTGCAGATTAGGCGAAATGCTCCCCACTTCCCAGCAACTGACCCTTGATGTTGGACAGATTGATTTATTATAATGCCAGCACTCCTGACAACATGCGCTAGGGGCTTGGTAATACCAGGTCATTTTTCAATTCTCTCTGTGTGCGACTGGCAGTCTCCTCTTCCCACATATTCCCATCAGGCAGCTCAGCAATAGAACACTAAATTAGTCATCTCTTCCTTTCTCCTTATTATTTCAAAGCAGCATCCCTTTCAAACATAAATCTGTAGGAAGGCCAAAAGAAAAAAGGAAAAAGACAGATGCTTGCATTCAGTGACAAGAACCATCCAAGGGGGGCTGCAGACAGCCATGCATGTCTCAAAGGCAGCTTCCTATATAGCCCCTGATGCATCACTTTTTTAAAAAGAGGAAATGCCTCACCCTCTCCAAAAGGACACATATTTGCATATGCACATATATGTGTAGCTGCAAATTTAGAAAGAATGACTGCAATGTAAATAGAAATGCAGTAGATCTAAACATAGTTGGGAAGACAGTGACCTGAGGACCTATAGGTCTGCTAAGCTTGCTATTCAGGTGCTGCAAATTGTTGGTGGGATGCTTCAAGACCCCTCATCTCCATCATTATGGTATCTTAAACCAGGCATGGACCAGGCCATCTTTTGAACAGAGGAATCCTTCAAATAGAGAACTGTCCTCTGTAAAGCAGGATGAAGGGCCACTTCTTTCCCCTTGGTTGACCCATTGCGTTAAACAACTTGGTTGATGGTTGACGGACAGCTGGCCTATTTTCTCCTGGGACACCTTTGTTCTCGTGATAAGAAGTCAACTCTGTGGACAATCCAGTCATCGGTGGTCCCACATTTGGAGCCTCTTAGCCAAGTGACCTAGCTGATTGGTCAAAACATCTGTCTAATGTGCACCATACAGAATGGAAACATGAGAGTGGAACATGCCATGCCCAAACAATGTGTACACTGAGCCTTGAAGTTGTTTGAAATGTTGCAGTAAAAGTTATTGCCACCACCAAACTACCCCATCTGGTCACTTTTTTTAACCAGGCCTTTGGTTGATTTCATTGATATCCTATGTCCTTTTAAAATGTGGTGCTTTTTTGAGGGGTGTTATTGGGTTGTTGCTTCTATTCTGATTATATATTTTGTGGTTTTATATTTAGTTCTGTGAACCGCCCTGAGACCTCCAGGTATAGGGCAATATATTAATTATATTATTATCATTATTACTATTACTATAATTCAGGTCACAGTACAGGTCATTTAATTAATTTTATTATTTTATTTATTTCATTATATTATAGATCTTGTGATCATAAAAAGGAAAAAAAACTCAGTTTACAAAATAAAACAGCACAATTCTCACTTTTAAAAACAGTTACTACATTTTAAACATTCTAAAAATAATTAAGACCAAAGATGAGTAGAATACCAAATTAAAACACATTTATTATTATTATTATTATTATTATTATTATTATTATTTCATTTCTATACCGCTTTATATTTTTCAGAAAAATCTCAAAGTGGTTTACAGCATATGTCAACATCCCAGATATGTTTGCCTAAACAAAAATGTTTTTAGCAGGTGCAGGAAAAAATACAGTGCCTGATGTCAATAGTGCTCCAAACAAAAAGATCAGCTTCTTGCAAATGCAATACAACTGTTATGTGGCACCTGAGACAGGGCCAGTTGCACAAACTGAAGTGGTCGAGTCGGGTAAGGCGATCTTGCAGGCAAACAGTTCCCAACTTGTTAAGGGCTTTATATACCAATAGCACCTTGAACTTAACCCAGTAGCAAATTGGTGACTGGTGCAAGTCTCTGAGCACAGGTTCTATATCTGACAGGCTCTCACTCCTATCAGCAATCGTGATGCAGCATTCTGCATTAACTACAGCTTCTGGATCAAGCCCAAGGGAAGCGCTTGAAAAGCCTCTCCTCCTCCCAGAGGGGAGGTATTGTGAGCGGGAGCCATTCCTGTGTCAGCAGGGGGGCGTGTTTGGCCCCCTGCATCATCCCCCCGGCTGCCACGCCCCCTGTAGCGGGCCAGCCAATAGGTTTGGCCTGGAGGCGGGGTTTAGCCACATTCAAGTGGCCGCGGCAGCCTCCGTGCCTCATTCGGTTCCTGGGAAGACGTCGGATCACCCACCCGCCCCCCCTCTAGGCTAGGTTTATGCTCTTGACCTTGCTATGGACCTCAGTTGGTCGCCCTGGTTGTCCAGGGGGCCTGGTAGGAGTTTTTATCCATTTGGCTAAATTGGCACCAGCCTCTTGGTTTTTTGCCTACCTCGTAGCAAATCGTCACAACTTTTCCGGTTTTGGTGGTTAGGCATTGGATTATGTGTTGGGGGGCGGGGTGTGGCCATCACCTATCCCGATCCATTTTGGGTATTCCGTTAATGGAATCCGGCAGTCGTGGATCCTATCCGATACCCTGTTGGTGGCTAGGGCCATGGCACGACTTCCAGTGACATCAGGGGAAGCTTCTAGTTGTATCAACAAGCTCCTCCCACTGCGTGTTAACCTTCAAATGGCCCCCCGCTGCGTGGGTGGGGTCTGATATAGGTTGTTTGATCCAATGCCTAAGCCAATACCGCTCACATGCTGTAACCAATATAAGTTGTGGCCTTTTTCATCCCATTAACCTAAATACTTGTGTCCTTGTCTCTTATTTCAACACTACGCAGGTTGGAGTCCTCGACTTACAATTTACCCTTCGCAGTTTTGTCCTAGTCCAAACCTAGTACCCATTGTTCCAATGACCTGTAAGCAGGTGCATAGCATTTTTAGTTATTGAAAAATGGGGGGGGGGGACCAGAGTAAATGCTGTATAATTAGTAAGGCAAATTAGGCTTTCCAGATTTGGGGAACTGGAACATGGTGATTCTGTTGTACACAGACTTTTGCTCATAACATGCCTGGAATCTTACACCAGCGACACAGTTGATGCCCTCTTATTTCACCCACCAAATAAAGGCCCGAGCATTACCTCAGGATGTAATTTCTCCCCCAGGCAGTCTTTATTAGGTTAGCTGTAAATTCTGCAAAACAGAAAATACCTGTGAAAGGTGTAGACTGCAGTCGAGCATGTGATAAATTATCTTAAAAATAATGGTGGTTATGATTGACAGAAGGTAAAAGGTTTATTTCTTCTGGGAATAAAAAGCCTCATAAGTAAGGCAAAGTGCAGAAACAGGAGAAGAAAGTACCAACATCATTACTCCATTTGCTTAGTTCCACATTTCATTATAAATTACAATTGTAAATAACAATTAGTACATTTAGGAGCTGAAATATGTGTGGAGAAGCCAGGCCTCTAGACTTGAGTAACCATTTCAAAACATAACAAACCTCACTTCATTACGCATTTAATATTACACTAACAAAATACTGAATGGATTATTATTATTTTTTAACTCTATGCAGTTTTCTGTGACAGGCCTTATTTTTCTTGTCCCTTACAGCATTGACAAAATTTTAGCTGTAATCCCTCTTGGAAGTAATAAAGTCATCCTCCCAAATACACAAATCTATTTTTTGTACAATTTTAACTGAGGTAAAGGATTGAGGGAGGGGGAGGTATATACTGCAACCCTGTCTGGTTGCCAGGTTTGGAGAAAACACAATCTTCCGTGTTGGAAATAACTCCTAAATCAACATGGCTTTTCATTTTTCAAAACTAAAATGAAGTGTGTAAGTGTTATATAGTGATTTTGATCTTCTCCACAAAATTGAAAGGATAATCTGGGTCTTCCAAGAAAGCGTTGCTGACAGGAGAACACATTTTTTAGATATTCACAGTATATGATTGTTTTGTTGCAATGTGGGATGTATATCAATACGCCTAACAAAAGGAATGGGTGTGTTTGTGTTTTTTTCAGCACATCATGAACATATTATTATCATATTAGTAGTAGTTGTTGTTTTATATTTTACAATAATATAATATCCTTAATGTATAATTATAATAATATCTTAAATAATAGCAACAGTAGCCCTTCAAACCAAAGGCTCTCAGAGTGCTAGAGAAGATTTCATTAAAATACAAGATAGCAAATATAATATAAAAAATAACATCCTAAAACCTTATGTTGTACGTATGTTCATTGCCACTTACATTCTTAAAAAGGGGGTGAGGGTTCCATTTATCACTTGTGCAGGGTTTTGTCCTTTGCACTGTGGGTTACTGGTGACCCCAATGAATTGTGTGCAAGTAAATTGTCTTACTGGAAAAGGGAAGACCTCGGCAAAGACTTTTATGTTTACTTGCAGATGCTTAACAACACACACATCATACGGAGTAGGTTTGACCCCAGTATCACATTGGTACAGCCAATTTTGCTGTTGATAAGGTTGAAGAAGTATCTGTTGTTATATCAAGCCCTTCCTTAGCTTTTCTTCTATTTTGAAGTCAAAACATGTCATGTGCAGAACTATTGAGTCACCATGCTGAGTTTAAACTAGGTGTGGATAACCTGTGCTCCACCTGACATTGCTGGACTCCGAGTCCCATCATCTCTGACCCTTAAATATGCTGGCTGGGACTGATGGTAGTTGGGGAACCACAGGTTAGTTACTCCTGCCTTGAGCAAAACCAGACAATGATTTATAGTCACACTGGAACTAGAATGTAAAGTTCATAACAGAGAGCATCTCTGGCTACATATGTAAACAGTCTTTATTGGAATTGTAATAATAATAGGGGTTGCTCGTGCGTAAGTTGCCGCCACTCCTGGCTAGGTTGCCTGGTTAAACCTTTCCTGTCTGGACAGCCCTTCACTTCGTGGCTGTTTCAGTTGCTAGCAGAATCCGTCAG